GGGAGCTGATGAAAATGCTGACCCTGAAAACAAATAAAAGAGTACATCCATCAGAGGCTCTGCTTAGCAGACAATGGACTAAATTTGGCTTACATATGTGTTTTGTTTGGCCTATGCAGTTCAAAAAAGCTACATAGACAACACTTGAAACTTGGGAGGATTCACAAAAACCCTATTTGTGAGTCTATTTGTCAGCTCCCTGCAGTCATCCTCATGCTCGTTACCCCCCCACCCCCTGCCCCGGTGCCATCCACTCCCCGCATGCACGTGAAAACTCAGCTGCCCGGTCCCTTCACCATCCAAGAACTCCCTGAAGCCAACAGGAATATGATATGTGCATCCTTCATGAAATAATGGGAGAAAATTCCAAAGAGCATCAGTCCAATGTTTGGCAGATACAACTTTGGTCAGCCAGGGAAGAGGGTACAGCAAAGGACCCCCTTTGAGACTAGGGTTGTAGTGCAGTGGTAGTGTGTGTATCTAGCATGCATGAGGCCCTCAGTCCAATCCCCAGCACTGGAACACAAACAAAATAACTTCAAAAAAAAAAAGGCCCCTTCTCACTCTAGGCAGCACCTACACTCACAAGTATCTGTGCTCTTGTCGCAGGGGTAAAAGGCTGCCTTAGAGAGTTCCTTTTTACTCCCTCGTGGGATGACATGAGAAAAGGGTGAAATCATAGGAAATAAGGGCCAGAATTAGAACATTTTCTTTTTCCTTGTATCCTTTGGCCTCAAATAACACCATTCTGCACAGGTGGGTTTTCAATAAACTTGGGAGCAACAGTGTGGAAAATGTTTCAAATGCTGTTGGTCTCAAAAGCCAGCTGTTGACATAAAATGTGTTTCCTTACCATGGACACATCTTCCCCCAAACCCAATTGTTCCAATCAAAATCTCAGCATATTTTCAAAATAGAAGCTGATTCTAAAATTTATAAGGAAATGTGAGGAACCGAATAGCCAAAATAATTTTGAAAAAAAAGAACAAAGTTGGAGGAATTTACTACCTCATTTCAAGATTTTATACTAAAGCTCCAAAAATTACGACAGTAGGTATGAGTGAAAAGATAGACATCAATGGAATAAACTGAAGCCCAGAAACAGATCCTTACCAATGTGGACAAGTGGCTTTTGACAAAAGTACAAAATAATTTGGTAAAGAAAGAATAGCACTGAAACAATCGGCTGTCCGTGATCACACACACGCAGGAGAGAACTTCAGCCCATGCTTCATCGCAAGTATAACAAGCAACTCAAATGGCACAGACCCAGATGAAAAAACTGGAACTGGAACTTCTAAAAGAAAACTCAGACAAAATACTTCTAAACTTAGCTTAGGAAGTTGTACGGAAAGGACAAAGCATCAGCCAGGCCTTTAATCCCACCACTCAGGAGACAGAGGCAGGAGGCTCTCTGTGAGTTTGAGGTCAACCTAGTCTAGATAGCGAGTTCTAGGCCAGCTGGGGCTACAAAGAGACCCTGTCTCAGAAAAGAAAAAACAAAGGAAGGAAGGAAGAACAAACAAAGCATTCAGAGCATTATCTATATACTAAATGTTAGTCAAGCCATAGAACTTCCATGCTTTGAGAGGTGTGTTAATAAGATGAAAAGACACACTACAGGAGCTGGAGATACAGCTCAGTGACTGAATGCTTGCATAGCATGCACAGGGGCCCAGGTTCTATCCCCAGTGTCAGAAAAGCAAAAAATAAAACAAGGCAAGCCAGTCTGGGAGAAAATATTTGCAAATCTTATCTATATTTATATACACCTTATAAAGGACTTATATACAATACATGCCAATAATTTTCAAAGCCTAATAGAAAAACAACCCAAGTTTAAAAATGGGCAAAAATGTAGGGCAGATACTTCAGTGAAGAGGATACCTGGATGGCAAATAGATGCACAAAAAGGCACTCAATACCCATCAGGGAACTGCAAAGTAAAGCCATAACACAGCACCACTCTACTCATATGCCAGTTACAGAAGGACATGGTCATATACATAGAGGTGGAGTACTGGTTGCCAGGAGCTGAGGGAAAGGGAAATGGGGAGACTGTTCAGCATGTAGCCTCAGCTAAGATCAAGAGGTCTTTGACACCTGCTGTACAACATGTACAGTCGATGGTGATGTACCTGTGTAGGCTCCATGCTGCATTCAAACTACACTGAAAAAGATGGTCACAATTAAGAAGAGTGACATCCAATTTTGGCAAGGTCATGGAGCACATCGAGCTCTTACCCATTGCTGGGGGGGATCATCAAATGGGAATGTGACTTTGAAAAAGACAGTTTGGCACAGTCCTTTAGCAAGTTAAATATAGACCAGGTATTTGATCTACCATGGCTCTTCTAGATATTCACCACAGAGAAGGGGAGCCTGTGTCCACACAAAGGCACACACACAAAGCCTCTCAGCAGATTCACTAGTAATAGTTTCAACACAATTCCCAATTCTCTCAAGAAGTGAATGAGCAAACAAAGTATAGTACATCTGTACAAAAAATAGTGCTATGTGATAAAAATGAATGAAATACTACATACTTCAGCTTGGATGAATCTAAAAACAATTATGCTGAGTAAAAGAACAGGAAAAAAAAGAGTGTTATAGGACTTCATTTATGTGAAATTCTAGGCAAGGAAAATAATGTCAAGTAACAGAAAGGAGATTGATGTTTAACTAGGAATAGGGTGCCACGGAGAAGGGCCATTTTGAAGATGATAGTATAATCATTAAGGTGTATAAATGTGTCAAAATTTACCAATATTGCTGTTTTTTGAGACACGGTCTCACATAGCTCCAGCTGGCCTTAAACATCCTGTGTAGCTGGGATTCACCTTGAACTCCTGATCCTTCTGCTTCTACCCTCTAAGTACTGGAATTACACTCCATACCCAGCATAACTTACCAAATGTTACCTGGGTTACTTCATGCCAATCATATTTCAAAAAAGCTGACTTTGCTTAAAAGCACTCAAGTTTGTCATTCTCTTCTTGTCACTGAGTTAGAGCCTCTTTCCTAGACTCTCCCACGGCACCTCATCCTGGCCTCAGTACAGTGTTCATCACTGTGGAAAATTTTAATCTGAATATTTGTGTAGGTTGAGCCTGCAAAACTGCTGATGTCTTACTGTTTCTGATCTGAAGAAATGGCAGTTTCCCTGGCTTACCCTCAGTCTTGCCTGCTAGCTGCACCTGACAGTGAGTGCTTAGAGGTCTGCAGGGGCATCTGGCCTCACTCTGTGGCTGAAGGAAGGAGCTGTACTCTGGAGGGGCTCTCCCTAACTGCTGGATCTTCACAAGCCACTGGGTAAAGGGCTTGTGGGCCCTTCCTTACAGCCACATCCCTTTCACCCATGGGGAATCACTCAAAACCCACTACTGTAGAGTCTCCTTTTTTGGCATAGTTCTAAAATTTCCCACTTGAAAAGTACCTTTCAAAGCAGTAGAAACACACCCAGAGGCCTCTGGAAGCAGAGGGTGTAGCTTTGAAAATGTAAAAAGTATTAAAAATTTAAAGTAGTCATAAATCAGAACAAAACTCTGATTCCTGATGGCTCTCAGAGGAAAATTTCCAGAGGCCACAGCACTTCCGAATAATATCATGTGCTCTGGCTTTAGCCTTGGCTGCTTTTCCCTTGGAACAACAAAAAGAATCATGCCAGCTATTAAAGACAGTCTTGTTATATAATGCAGTTAATCGTGCATATGCTTCCCTGTGGGATTTGACCCAAGTTTCACAGTGGTCTATTTTATTTAGCATTGATAGTTTTATTCGTTTCTTATTAAAGAGATCTTTCTACAAAATTAACTGTTCCCTCAGCCTTGGCTTGAGAAAGAAGAATGTCTGAATTAAAAATGTGTGCAACAGATGAACCTCAGTTACAGAGAACATTGCTGAAGTTCTTCATAGAGGCAGGTGTCAAGCATGCTAGTAAGTTCTTCAGGTTTTCCTTCAGATTTTTCAGTTTTGCCTTCCTCATAGGCAGAACAGAAAAAAAAAAAAAAGCAGAGATCTATGAATACTTGTCAGAGTCTAAGGATGTTTTTGCCATGCTTGTTCATTTCCAAGGATCTGTGCTTTTATTAATGGAAAAACCAAAGCCGAGAAGGAGGTGCAGGGAGGAAGCAGAGGGGATACAGCACTGATACACAGTGTATGGCACCGATACGCAGTGTATGGCACTGATACACAGTATATGGCACCGATACGCAGTGTATGGCACTGATACACAGTGTGTGGCACTGATACATGGTGTGTTGCACTGATACACAGTATATGGCACTGATACACCTCTTCTGTGGATGGGGTCCCTGGCACCCTGACACTGAAGGATCTGAAGTCAGAAAGAGATCTATTGGACATCCTTTTTGTCCTTCCTTGGAGCTGTGATTTTCTTTTACCAGGAAGGGGCTGACAAAGAGCTGTGTAAAACAGTTCCTCATGGCCCAGTACTGTCATTCTGCATCCCAGGCTAGCCAGCCCCGTATTTCCTCTCCTAGCTACTGGGTAGATAAGAAAAGAGAAGCAAGATTGAGTAATCTCCTTCTCTACTGTGTGACTAATAAAATAAATGCTCTGCTTCAAGCATAGAAATAGTTTCTAGTATAGTCCCTTCTGGTTTCAGAGCACTTTGACGTAAGTGTGCTCTCTGCTTGAACCGTTTTAAAACGAGGATAAGGAAAGGCAAAGAAACACTTATACTCTCAAAGTCATATCACGAGATAGGAATCATCATTTTTTTATATATATAAAGGAGTCATTTGTATTAGGAGACACTGACATGCCCCAAATCACTAACTAGCAAGTGATTAAGACTGATTTCAAGTCTAGGTCTGTCTGGCTGAAAGTCCATGTTCTTTCAAATGAGTCTCTGCTCTGCTAAGTCTGCTGATTAGACGAATGTGGAAAAATCTCAAGAGAAAAAAGGAAGATCAGGCAGTCATTTCAGACTAGCTTGAGTATAATCCTCAAATTATGCAGATACATAGAGATACCTGCTGAATGGCTGACCTGAAGGCAGTGTAGAAGGAATCTTGCAGGGAAGGACACTATGTGACCTGGAGGGCCGAGATGGTTCTCATATGCTTCCATAATTCTCTCTGCAACTATAGGACCTTAGAAGGAAACAGCTCCAGTCAGACAGTTCAGAGTAGATGCTCTTTAACAAATAATACCAACAACAGAAACTTATTTTCATGACTGATTTAAGACAAGCCTCTTGCAAAGACATGCCTGGTAATATCTGCTTGAAGAGACAGTATGAAGAGTAATTGATAAAAAGATAAGTGGGTTCGAAGAGACACTTAGAATTCTCTCCCATTTCTCCCAGTATGCTTCACTTTGCCCAGTGACAGCATCTACTTCCTGCAAGCCAATCACATTCCCTGGACTGCAGAAGGCGTGGGAATTACCAACAGCATCTCAATTTTGATACATGAATACTCTTGACTTTCTCAAGCCAGTGCCTTTAGGAAGACCACTCAGCAGATGGCTGGATTTTAGATTCAGCTCTCATGTTATTCTAAACCATCCTTCTGTGTTAACACAATACAGATAGTCCTCAGTTTCTATGTTTTCAACTTTATAGTGTGGCAAAATGAAGTATGTGCAGTAGAAAGCATATTTCAAATGTAGAATTTGGGTCTTTTCCTGGTATCTGTGGTATAATCCTCTCTCAAAATGCTGGACAGTGGCAGCAAGCTGCATCTTCTAGCCAGCTGCACAATCACAGTACTTGACCCTAGAGGCACCTGATCCTCTGTGGTGGACCATGCTGCTAACCTGTGGTGCTTCATAGGTTAGGTGTGTTGGCTGCATTTGTGCTTTAGGACAGTTTCAGCTTGGGGCGGGGTTACCAAGGTGTAGCCCCACTAGAAGTAGAGGAGTATAGTTCCATAAGTAATATGAATCTGAGAAATGCAGTCTTCAAAGTAATTTTTTGAATATCCTCCTCTAGCAGCAAGGTGTTTAACTTTTTTTTAAATGTATTTATTTTCATTTTATGTGCATGTGTATTTTCCCTGCATGTATGTAAGTGCACCCATTGTGCAATGCCTGCAGAGGCTAGAAGAAGGTGGAACTGGAGTTATGGATGGTTGTTAGCCACTATGTGGGTGCTAGAAACTGAACCCCAATCCTCTGCAAGAGCAGCCAGTACTCTTAACCATTGAGCTATCTCTCCAGCCCCAAGGTGCTTTAAAACAACAACAACAAAATAAAGAAACAAAACAGAAGCCTTGTCACATTCTCTCAGTCTATTTCCTGGCAGCATTTCTGCGTTTTATGTCCCAGAGAGCATATTAGCAGCTTTCATGGTTACAAATTTGAAATGCTATCAAACTTAGGAGATTATATAGATGGAAAACAAAACAGCTCATCTACACACATCTCATCTGCTTTTGGTTTCATCTTTCATACCATCAATTACTGGAAGTATTTGAGAGTATGCTGAGACACTGAAATGAGAAAGGAGTGTGTCCTAACAGCAGCCTGTGGGTGAGAGGGAGGTGAATGGGAGGTGAGCCTGATGCCACCTTGGACTGCAAGGAGGGTTTCCAAGAAACAGCAAGGCAGAACCTCACAACAGCACACACACACCCGACTGGAGCCAGTGTTTTGGAACATGGTGAAAAGCAAATTTCCACTTACTGGAGAAAGGCCACCTATTTCATTATGTGTCAGTGTGGGTCACAGTGTCCTCTGCAGCTCAGCACTTCAGTGCAGCAGCAGCTCCTGAGCTTTGACTGGGGACACTAGTGTCTGACAACTGACCAGCTCCTGCTACTCGCTTTTTCCGATGGGAACTTCTTACTAGCAAGTCTCTTTAGACCTCTCTATCCCAACAGCTCTGCTTCTCTCTTCTCTGACTATTCCCCACTCCCCAGTCCACATCCATTTAACTCCTCTGTAACCTCTCCCTGCACTCACCATAGTCATTATGGCCACCTCTGTATGAGCCACAGGCTAGCAAGGGAAAGGGCCTCACTTCTAAAGACAGAGACGAGATTAGCAATGGATTCTCACTCCAAATAAATAAATGCCTGAACTGAAGAGGTATTGTAAGGAGCCAACATTCTTCGGCTGAAAGAATTCAGTGGCAAAGAATTCTTTAAAGAAGAAAAACACTTTTTATCTCTGTTGATCCAACCAATTAAAAATATGATTGGTCAAAGCAATTTTCAAAAATATTTTTGTTTGTCTGAAGCTAAGGAGTAAAAGGGAATGGTGTGAGTTATTCATCTATTGCTCCCTCTTTGGGTGAATTATTTTAAGGAGGAAAAACAAAGGTCTCTGGTAGTCTAAAAATAAAATCAACAATCTAAGCCTCTTCTTATATGAGTCCATTTTGTGTGCACAAATCATCCCATTCATTACTCTGCTGTCATGAGATGACATCCCTGAACCATAAATCTGATTTCAATTTCTAAGCAACGAATGACTCAGAAGTTTGAATGGAAATTTGATTCTTTATCTATGCCTGGGCCTGAAGGACAGATTTTTCTTCCCTCCCCCTCCTCGCATAAGTGTATGTGTGTGTGTGATCATGTCTCAGATGTCATTCTTCAGGTTCCATCCACCTGACTGTTGGAGACAGGGTTTCTCAATAGGCAATTATCCAAGGCTGGCTGGCCAGTGAGCCCCAGCAATCTGCCTATCTCCATCTCCCAGGCACTCGGGATTACAAGCATACACCACCATGCCTGGCTATCAGCCTGGATTCTGGGGATTGAAATCAGGTCTTAATGTTTACAATTGTAAGTGCTTTAGTGTCTTAGCTATCTCCTCAGGCCTATATTTCTCTTATTGATGCACTATTCTACTCACCTTCACTTAATCATCAGAGAGTATATATATCAGAAGTTCTTATATACACTTAACTACAGATAAATAAAGTACCATTAAGGATTAGTAGGCATTTCTGGACTCCAATGGGAAAGAAAGAAAAATGATCCACTGGAGACAGGCCCTGGAAGGTGAATGTATGCACCACTGACCTCCCTCTCATGGTCTCTTTGGGCACTTGTCTCTCTTTTCCTCCTCAGAAATGGCTGCAGTTTATACAGGAGCCTGTGGTTGCTACCAGGATGAGGTCTAAAGTCACTCATGACAAGGAATAGCCTTGTTTCTTGGCTTCAACAATTTGCTGGGATACAATGAGGGCACTGGAACTAGGAGAGTCTGGTAGTTAGTTGTTGAGGCTTGTTTCCCTAAGGATCAATGTAGCCTCTTTCACTAAAGAACCCAGGAGGGCTTTTTCCATAAGACTCAGGGACTGAGGGTCACTTTAGATCCTCTTGATTGGTCAAAGCCATTGCTCATTAGGAAAATTGTAAATTTTTCTTTCTTCTTTTTTTTCCCCCCAGCAATGACACTATTCACAGTAAATATGTCAGGGATGACAGTATGTTATAGTACATAGACACAAAAAATTTGCCCTTCTGCCCATTGCTCATAGCTGTCTACAGCTTCAGGTTGATGTTAGTAGAAAGGTAACACTAGCTCGCTCCCCATCTTCCTGCAACACCACACAAGAAGAGGCAAGAGTCCAGATTTACCTTCCTTGTCACTTTAAATCCTCCCCTATTTCTCCATCTTTCTTAATTGGGCTACAATCTCATACAGAATAAGGGGCATTCACAGAACACCATCTTCATCCTCCAGATGGTATGTTCTAGTTTCTATGTGGCCACAGACAGAAGCAAGAACAACTGAAGGCCACGCTGGCTAGCAGTCACAGAAGGAGGAATAACAAACCAAGCTGTATATATTTGCAGTACAGGGATTGGAGGCCCGAGAGTCAGAAGCCATGAGATGGCTCGTGAGCCAATCCATGACTCAGAGACTGATAATGTACCACTTTTCTGGCATCACCTTCCAACCTGTAAAACAAATGGTTGAACCGGCTTCAGAACTGTAAGTGGGATTGTCTCCAGGGCCTGGTAGAGAATATACATAAGTATAAACCTGGATCAGCAGGGGCTGAGAAGAACCAGAGAAACAGACATATTCACCTAAGGGGGACAGTTCCCACCCAGAAGCAGCTGACAGTTGCCCTGGAAAGTGCATCCAATGTCTCCACATCACATCTTAGAGAAGAAGTCACAAATTCATATTTTAAATACAATCTCTCAGGATTTTATTTGGCTTGGTTTTGATTTTTTTGAGACAGGGTTACAAACAGCCCAGCCTGGCCTTGAACTTTGCATATGGTAAAGCTGGCCTTGAGCTCTTTATCTTCCTGCCTCCACCTCCAAAGTGCCAGGATGACAGGCATGCACCACCATCTTTGGCTAAAATCTTAGTTTTAACTGGAGTTAGGGACAGTTGTTAGCCACCATGTGGGTGCTGGGAACTGAACCCAGGTCCTCTGCAAGACCAAACCGTGTTCTAAACAGTTGAGCAATCTCTCCAGCCCCTCATTATTTTTCAAGAAAGTTTTTGGGAAAGCTAATTGCAAAAGAAGTTAAGGTATATGTTGAGGTAGGAGGTTCTCTGGTTATCTGGTATAATCCACCAACTGCCTTCCTCTTCATAGAGACTAGTACTCTGTACTTACCCTGCTATGCATTGTTCTGTCTGTCATGTATTAGCCTGCTTGCTCTAGTTTCACGTCTGTTGCTGTGATAAAACATCCTGACAAAAAGTACCTTAAGGGAGAGAGAGTTTGTCTTGGGTCTCCGTTCCAAGTTACTGTCCATCTTGGCAGGGAAGTCACAGGAGTACAAGTTATAGCAGCTAGTCCATCACATCCACAGTCAAGATCAGAGAGCTCAGTGCTCAGCTAGCTTTCTCTAGTCTTACACAGTCTAGGGTCGAAAACCAGGGAAGGCTACCACCCACATTTAGGCTGGGTCTTCCCACATCAATAAACAAAATCAAAACAATTTCCCACAGGCATGCCTACAGGCCAACCTGATCTAGACAATTCTTCACTGAATCCCTCTATGCAGGTGATTCAGGTCAAGCTGACAATTAGAACTAACCATAACACTGTTCCATTCTCATAACAGCTCTGAGAGGTGGCTATCATATTATCTTCACCTTCCTAAACAGGAAACTGAAGCAGAGGGTGCAATAACTTGCTGGGGTCATATCACCACAAGTATACTA